TCTTATTGAAATTTTTGGCACAGATATAAAGCAAAGTCTGGAGTACACATGGGGTAAGGTTCATCCTCGAGAAATGTGCGTTTCCCGAGGGATAAGTAGTTTTTTGTCATTTATTATATATAGTTCGTATGTTTTCTAATACACGAGGACGAAGTCGCGGGGAACAGCTAGTTATCTATAATTAAACAATCACGATTTCATGCAAAGATATAAGCTTATCTTTACAATAAATATTAAATTTAAATACAAGCACGTTCTAATTTACAATTGTATTTTACGCACTTCATATAAATATTTGACACATACGCATATTCAGGTCTGAATTGGATCTCAATTATTGAAAATTTAATTAATCAATTCCCTTGTCCGATAAACTGGCAACCGCCTGATTGAATGCACAGCGCGAAACACGTCGGTCATTGCATTCCATAAATATATTACAGCTCAAAACATTTTCATCATAAATACTCGTATAGTTGTCTATGGCGATTCATATGAGTTTTTATTGGACAACTAGCTGTTTCCGTGCGACTTCATCCGCATGAAATTATGAAAATTTTATTTTATTGCTTACGTTTGTCAAATTATCAATTGCAAATGTCAAAATGACATAACATGATGACAACCTTGCTTCGTTGATGTTGACAGTAACTTATGATCTCTTTCCCACAATAGGGTTTTTATCCAAAATATTTACTCCCTAAGTTTAATAGTGCGAAAACATATAGCCTAAAGCGTGACGTAAGTGTAGGGCTTTTAATAAAAAAATAATTATTTAAACATATGCTGTAATTGCTGACATCTTAGGCAACAAAGAAGTGTGAGTTTACGCTTTATTATAATAGTATAGATTGAGTATCGGAATTCATTTTGGACTTTAAAGAGTAGAAAATGCTGAAAAATTATGATGTTATAACAGATTAAACCTACAAGATAATATTAAGTAATCGATTACATATTTTTCACGTAGCTTGTTACATAGTTTATAAAGTTGAAAGACTTATAATGTTACGTGGCTGCTAGAATCCCAACCATAATCTCATAACATAAACCTCTTTTAATGATCACGAGGGTCCTTGAATCAAGCCACCCCTCTCGAATACAGAAATATTCCGTAACAAATTTTAAAATAGATTTGACTGGTATTATTACACTATTTATTTAGTCAACAATGCTTTACTTGTTCTATGTAAAATGTGTCATTTTAGAAAACCTTGGTAAAATTTATTACACTAGCTTATTATGTCTGTTAAATAATTAATAAAAAAATGTCACAAGATTCTTGTTACGCAGTATAAAGATAGATTACAGTAACAATATAGCCTGAGTCTAAGTAGGATGTACATATTTTCAATATGGACCAAACCGCGATACTACCCTTCTCCAGACCAATAAAGTTATCGCACTATACATTATGTCGGTGTGTACTTGTGCACCGTATTGTATTGCAGATGAGACCAAGCTCGAATATTGAGTCTCCGCATTGCGCATTTTCATCAGCCGCATTTCAACTAACCCGATGCAAACAATGACGTATTCTACGAGAAGGTACATTAATCGTTTGTATTACAAAAACTGACAATGAATAAAAGTATACATTATTTTATATTACTAAACATTTGAGTCGATTTAAGTATGTCAAGTGTGGGTTTTCACTGCGTAGACCTTTATAAAAATAGTGTTATCTCTGTTTAAGAGAGAATGAGAGGGTTAACGATATAAATGATTATCATACTAAAAGACACACTTCGTAGTCTTCCAACTCTCAGTGCGGTAGTAAAATAGGCAATTTTACTTTACTAGCTTTCGCCAGCGACTCCGTCCGCGTGGAATTAAAAAAAAACGAAACTGAGTAGCCTATGTGTTCTTCCAGACTATCCTCTACGTCTGCCAAATTTTATCGAAATTCGTTCAGCCGTTTAGGCTACAAACGCTAACAATGAATGAATGAATGAATATGTATTTATTGCCACAAAATAGATATTACATAAAAGGACTTATTCGAAAGAAAACACAATCCTGGCAAGGTAGCTGAGCGCATGCAGGATGGACTAAGCCGTTCCTGCGCTGAGTTTTAGCTGGCTCCTTCGCACCCAAGTAATATATAGCTTAATAATTAGGGTAACCGGTAACAAATTACATACCTATACACAGATAAAAATACATTTTTAAAAAGAAATAAAAATCACATAAAACAGAAATGGGACATCATAAAGAAAAAAAATTATATTAATTAATAGAAACAAACAAAAACAATCATACCAAATTAAAAGGAGGATGAACATACTGCATTTATAAATATCTTTACAAACATTTAACAAAAAGAAAAAAATAACCATCCATCCATCAATCTAAACTTTCGCATTTAAAGTATTAGTAATAAGCAAGGAGTATGAGTATGATAACTTGCATTTTTGACCGACTTCCCAAAAGAAGGAAGTACTCAATTCGTCTGTATGTTATTTTTATGTGTGTTACGGCATAACTCCGCCGCTAGTGGACCGATTTTGATAATTCTTTTTTATCCGAAAGGTAATGCCTGCAGGTGGGTCCCATTTTGTTTGATTTTTATGTAATAGTATGCTATTATCGTGACCGAAATCGCATTTGTAGTTGTCTAACATTATTTTTCCTAATTATTTAATTATTAAAATCAGCACAATGTGGTATTTTATCATTCTTAATAATTGATAAATAAAATGTAAAAATGTAATCTTTTATGATGTTTAACATCTAACAATGAGGTCTCTAGGAATGTAACAAAATAACCGTATAAACTCAAATGAAACGATTTTATTACGTCAAATTGAAAATAATAAAGTCCAATGATATAAATTTCCTCGAAATCTGTAGCTCAGTCATTACCAATTTATTGAATTCCAACGTAGTTTTTATTTATTTAAAGCAGAAGGTACATTTTTGCAAATAAATAGACATGTTAGATTTCAGGAAAATCGCGATTTTCCAATAAAATTCTTTGAGGCGTGTAATACATTGTCATATTAAAAGAAAGCAATAAAAATATAACAAAAACGATGACCGGAATTCTTACAAAAAAAATTGATTAGATTGTTTTCAAGATCTATGTAAGAGGTAGTTTTAAATGGAAACATCTTATTTTTCTGTTGAACTTCTTTATTTTAACCCAAAAATTTGAATTTTTTACCCAATGTTTGGTAAAAATGTAACGTTATAAACAAAGAAATATATTATAGCCATGAAAATAAACGTCAAAAAACTAAATCTGCATTTCATTTTTTTAATTTGGAAGTGTGTTACTTACGCTGTACTTGCATATGTTTATTTAATAATGACTAGCTGTTCCCGTGCGGCTTCATCAGCATGAAATTATGAAAATTTTATTTTGTTTACATTTGTCAAATTATCAATTACAAATGTCAAAATGACATTTGTAATAATGACAACCTTGCTTCCTTGATGTTGGCAGCAACTTATGGTCTCTTTCCCAAATTAGGGTTTTTATACAAAATATTTACCCCCTAAGTTTAAAGGCGTTAAAATATATAGCCTAAAGTGTGATGCAAGTTTAAGGCTTTTTATAATAAAAAGAATAATTCAAAAGTATGCTGTAATTTCTGACATCTTAGGCATCAAAGAAGTGTGTGTTTACCCTTTCTTATAATAGTATAGAGTATAGATAGATTAATCTAAAGTTTGACCACGATACCAACTGATGTTAAATGTGGACGAAAGATGGTAAGCGCTAACTTAGTAAATGCGTATTCACTCTACTATTGAAGCCTAAAGAGAAGAACGCTTCGGTGATGATTTGTGCAGGCGCTTAGTCGATTCATCGCGTTGTCCACAGACTATCATCTTGTTTCAACTATCTTGAATTCAACATTTTACCATGATATGAATTAAAGCGGATGTGTTGATGTAGAAAATATGATATTTAAAGTAAAACTCGGGCACCTATTTACCCGTACATTGTAAAGACTGCAGTATACTATGAAAGAAATGTATAAAAACCGTGCAAATTTAAATGGTGCTCCGCTACACATTCACGTGAATATGTTTATAAAGAAATCATGCAGTTTTCAGTCTTTTGTTTGAGTCGCGGAAAGTGAAAAAGAAATAGAAGGTTTAAAATAGCACCATTTATAGTAGATGAATGTTTTCCTCATACGTCTTCTAAACTGTAATATTTCTGTCTCAGTTCTGACTGTTTTACACAACAGTTAAGGTTTTATATAAGCACAGTTTCAACTGAAGAACTACTGAAGATGAAGCTAATCAGTTAAAACCGGACGTCTATAGCAGGCATAAGCTCGAATTACGTTTTCGCATCTAGTTAGACAGTTAACAAGCGTCCGTAGTCCCCAATGTCCAAAAGAAACGAAGGATAAGTTTTCGACTTGCTTGTGTACTTTGTGTAACTGTATTTTGACGTACATTTTCATTTATAAACTCAAAGACAACTATCAAAATAGACAATTCGTGACGTCATAGAACTAATAAAGTCAACAACATCTATAAGAAGTTGGCCATTTAATAAAAAAACTGGTTTAAATCTCGTACCTGATATGAAAAAAATTAAAACAAGGTAAAGAGTAAGAAATTATTACTCAACTCCCAACAAAAATCGGTCACCAGCCTTTTACAACTTTCATAAACCTTTTCATGAAGTTTCAATCAATCACAAATAACGGTAAAATCGCTCGAGCTTGTTTCGCTGGCTTAAAATATAACGTAACCTAAATGCAATCAACGGCAAAATAATAACAGGTTATTTCTTGGAAACTCAGAATAAGGAAAGGAAATTAAGGCGAGGGAAAAAATCCGGTTATGGTTCATAAGAGCGCGCGCACACCTTTGACTAAACTATCGGACAACTGTTTAAGTCTTGCTTTGATTTCTATGAGCTTACGAGTATATGGAGATGCGCACACTACTCAATTTTTAAGTTGTGCAACTAAACAGTTGAATTACCTGCGAAACAATCGACAATCGCACAACAGTTGTGCGGTAGTTTAGTAAAATGTGTGCGCGCTTTCTAATAATGTGACCTACCTGTGTTCATGGTTACGAAGACCGCCTCAACCCCATTTGTCCATCTCCATTGGGCAGGCTGCGGAAATATACGACAAAGCCGTTCAAATCATTTATTATTTTTCATACATAAACATAAAATAATTTCAAAGAAACTAAAAAGCGACTGAATTTAAATTAATCGCAACATTTATAAAAAAAAGCAATTATTTTTTTAAAGCTGAATTTTTTTTATATTATAATCCAATTTTTATATAGTTAACATATTGTAAAATCTAAAATAGGACGAGTAAAATAATACGATGACAACAAATAAATAATATCGTGGTAAAGCGATGAAGACATCGTGAATAACATCATTAAATTTCACGTTCGCATTTCGCATAAGCAAGAGCATTGCATCAATAAACATACCAATACAATAATATAAAAAAATAAAACAAAGTAATAATTATAATAAAACGTTTGACATTTACCTATCTTATTTGTTGAATTTCTATTTTCTCATCGTTCCCAGGCGACACAAACTGCCAATAATCTGATCGTACCTGTAACAAGAGAAAATGTGTTCTTTGATCCAATTTTACGTCACTAGCATACAATATTAATACAACGCACAGCTATGGCTTAGCAAAACATATAAAACACAGCATCTCAATATTATAACAAGTTAAATTTCGCAGTTATTAAACGCATTTCACATTTATTTATTACACATATTCAGGGCAGCTAAAAATTTACAATAGAAAAACTTACCTAAATCATAGCTGACGTAATTTGCTCATTAGATCGACGGTTGTGTAAGTACCTGTTAACAAAGAAACAAAATTTAATTACCAAGTTTTACGTTCAATTAATATTACAAGTAAATAATATTAGTTATATAAATCATTGCGTAACATTTTTTCTAGAACATGTACCTTTATGATTCTAATCTAAATATACTAATAAACCGCCCTGGTATTGTTTGGTGAAAAATATAGACGCTAACATAACTTTCTATACCTAAAATTTAAATTCCAATAAAATTCATTGAATGTCTTCTTAAATAAATTTTCTTACTGTCAAAACGAAATTTTCAAAAATTTACATTCGGCAATAATATTTATAATACTAAGAAAATCGCTACAGCTTCAAATGAACATCTACTATATTGACGACAAGCTTTGATACAAACGGTAGCGCTCCAATTTCATTCCTTATCTATGACACTTCTAACATTGACATCATTTGTGAGTGAAATATAAAACAGATTCAAATTACAGCACGACATGCGTTTTATCGTAATTTGAGGAATAGATTTCTCTGGAATAACTTGTTTACAAAGTCGCACACTAGATTATAAATTACGTTAGTATTTTCATTTAATGTCAAAACAATTGAAATTAAATTTAAAAAACGGTAATTTTATGACGCGAAGTCGCGTAACAATAACGTTCATTATTTAACACTAGCTTTTGCCAGCGACTCAGTCTGCGTGGAATTAAAAAAAAACGAAATTAGGTATCCTATGAGTTAATTCAGACTATGTTGTACATCTATGCCAAATTTCATATAGATTCGTTAAACCGTTTAGGTTACAAACTCTAACAAACATCCAATCATCTAAACTTTCGCGTTTATAATATTAGTAAGAAGTATGATTATCGCTTACGTATACGAAAACTTCCCTTATTTTTAGAAATCGATTGAATAGCGCATGCGTGGTCCGCAATTTCGCCATTCGACGCTACTGTTAACTTTATACCCACAATTTGATCACTTAAATGAATTTACGCCTGCTTCCCTTCGTGTAAAAAATATCGATTTTATGAGTTATGGTTGCCAGAGGCAATTTGCCTTCGGTCCCGGCCGTTACAATACATCGACGAGGGTTTCAAACAAAGAGTTTAACTGAATAAAGCCATTAACGCTATATTGATTAAGCGTTGAATGTTACCTACCGGACCTTCGTCACTTTTAAAAGTAAACAATGATATTGATATTCTAACCAATTTAGATACTCTGGCATTGAACATGACACGAAATGCGTAGATACTCTTATTATTACAAATAGCGACGCGTATTAACTCGCGCAAAATTGACACATTTTGGATAATCAAATACAAATCAGTAAAGATCACTAGCATATTACTAGAACTTTCTTTTGGGAATTTAAAAATATTCAAATAGGTGTAATGTATAAAGAAAGTAAAGAAAAATCAGTAGTATAATGACAGCTGAATCTTCACTCATATTTTTATTCGCACTACGGCAGCACAATTCATCGATGCCTCCCTGACCTCGGATAAAGCTAACGGCCCGGTGCATTCGCCGTAGCGAGTTCAACGGCACACGTTTTTTCGCAAACTTTTACAACCGACACCGTCATTCAAGCCGCGTTTGCTCCGAGTTCATAATGCACCGGATTAAGAGGCGCACGACGCGTGGCATGATTCAATAGATGGCGCTATTGTATGCACGCCAGCCACTTTTTCTTTTTGCATGGTTGTGTTGCTTGGCCTTTTAAATTACGGACTTATCATTTTTTATTCAGAAACATTATTCAATTCTGATCGTCTAGTATCAAGATATTGTTTTAAAGAGACAATAAAAATAAATGTAACGTATTGCGACCTAAGGTTTTTGTTTCGAAGTATTATTCAAATTTAAAAAAATGTACACTAATATTTACGGAAAACAATAAATTATTTCGTTGCTTAATTAAACCAAATTTTCAAAATTATCGACTTAAACCTTTTGTTACTGTCCTAATTAATGAACATCTATTATTTTATTCGTTGCTATAATTAAGGGATGGTCATTAAAATGGAGTAAACAGATCTTGGTAATGGTTTCGCAAAACAAAAAAGGATAAAACAGACAAGACAACTAAGCGGAGTTACTTAAAAAAATAACATTTACCAGTGATTAAATCCGACAATAGATGTGTTTCCACGATTCAATGAATATATAAGATACCTTGTACATAAGCGAATTAATTGTTCCTGCGCAACTTTCTAAACGTTCCACAGTTTTTTTTAATAGTATTTTGACAATTGTGATTTTAAGCAAAGCAAAAACAATTGCGTCGTAGTCAATATTTCTTCGATATGACGATGCAGTTAGAAGACGTCATTTTGTGAAGCGTCCGTTTAGAAACTCATCTGCGTTCATTTCCGGAGTAGATAGGTCGGTTGATATGACGGCAATGCAATGTTTAGCTGTAACTACGCTTAGCAGACAATATCTCTACGTATAATAATATAACTGTGATTTTCTATCGCCTTTTTATTCTATCGTTTATCTTCTATTCTGATTTTGTTTGAATAACTTTGAATTAACACAGCAGATAACCATATCCCACTAGAAACTAAAATCAGTATTAAAACAGAGACAATAAGAATCAAAACAGTACTGCCAATAAACGGACAATGCGTCACGAACGCGATAGCCGGCTAGTTTTACACGGAGCGATAGCGATTAGCGTTTTTTTTTACTTCACGTCATCGTTTTATCTGAGTTGTAGTTTGAGATTTAAACCAATAAAATGTGCGACAGAGCGCTGCCAGATCTCACAATACACGGAGACAACTGGCGTTTTAATTATAGAACTGCGCAACACCAAGAGGCAATTAAAGACAATAATAACTAAATAACAAGTTATCGACTAGTTTTTTTTACATCAAATGTACAGTAAACAATAGTTAGGATGTCAAGAAGAACAATTTAGATAGAGAAGAAATAAAATCTAGAGTTTCTAAATGAAATGAACAATTGCAACAAAACAAATTGCTTGTTAAAAATGTTATTGTCTTTCTGAAAAAAACAGTGACATAATTTTTCTCTTTGAAAAATAAATAAAGATAACATTATAATTATTTAAAGCATTAGGTGAACGACCTCCTTGCGTTACTAATTATATGATAAAGAACCTTATCACAAGATGTTAACGCACACACCTTTATAATAAAAGTTATAAACTTGACTTTGGTATAGTTTGATGGAAAAACCTGCATATAATGTAATTACATGTGTTGGGCCTGTCCCACAATTCTTGTAAATTGTCAGATAACATATGAAATATGTGATGGAAATATCGGATTTTGGTACTCTGACAGCGATTTTACTTTTAAGCTATCTGAGCCTCTATCAGCCAGTGGTAGGTTAGACAGACATAAAATAATATTCATTGTACAAAAACGCCCTTATTATGTTGATTTTGCGTATCTGGTTAACATTGAACTGTGTACCACATAGGTTATCGTTCATTGTTTCTTACTGGTGATTATGTGCATATAAAACAATATAGCTGTGTGCCCTTCGCAGTGACACACGGGTCAATTCTGATATAAATGAAAACATGCAAACTACCCAAATGCAATTAAACTTGAAATTGTAAACAGATAAGGCAAATAACATAAATAATACTTCTGATATGACAGGCCTGCGTAAATACTATTACTATACTATAGTATTTGTTTACGAATAAAACGTACTACGCACATGTTTGCATGTTTACGCGCGCACACTTTAGACTAAATTATCGTACAACTGTTTAATCGCGCATTGATTAGCTGAAACTTATATGGAGGTGCGAACACTACTCGATTTTTAGTTGTCCAACTAAACTTGAATAGGCTGCGAAAAAATTAACAAACGCACAGCGTACATTCAAATCGCACACTGTGCGATATTTTAGTTAAAGGTGTGCGTCCGTCCTTATGACTTTATTGTTCTGTTTGTTGACAAAGGAACTGTAACTATGAGTAATTCATTTGTAAAATCTAATCAGGAATAGCCTTTCGAGTTAAAAATACAGGAAACAATGTGTCACATCTTACCTGTTTTCGGTAATAATACAGTTTTTTCTTAATATGCATTGCGCTGTCTTCCCTCCGTTGACGTCTGCCAGAATGACTCATGTCAATATCAGCCGCCATAACTGCGAACAATCACAATGTTTTTAATATAAACTAAAAAAAGCTTTTTTTAGAAACACGATAGTATTCGAAAACATCACCCCGTCTTTTTTATTAGTTCGGGGAGTTTTCTTTTTAGTCTTTTCTTTTTCTATTGACATCAGACGTCTACTTATTGAGGACATCAAAGGACTTCGTTCGTTTACAAACTTCTATCACACGGAAACTTGTGCCGTGGCGTAATAGAATAGCTCTTTTGAGCGAAAAAACTTTAAGACCGAAATTAAACGGAAACTGCACAGACGACGCCTCAGTTTATAAGTAAAAAAATATTTATAAAGTCGAATCTATGTGGACGAAGTCACGGGCATCAACTAGTATATGTATAAGTTTAAACACGAATGTAGTTCCAACTCAAAGTGTATTATCTTTAAAAATATTTTCAACAATTCTATAAACCGAGTGCAAACTCGTGTCTAACTAAACTAGAAATGTAGATATTTTAGAAAACATTGTTTAGAAATGCAACACGGCATACCTGAACATGATAATTCATTTCTATTTAAAAAACAAACTAGCGCAGTCAATGCATACGAAACGACGCAGGCAATATCTCTGCAGCGAGCATCCTTACTTTTTTCGTTTCGTTTTAAAATCACAAAGGATTTTTTTTGGAGAGCGAGCCAGAACAGTGACCGCGCCGCCCCGACACCCCGACACCCCGTAGCGACAAATTCATGGAATGTATTGCGTAATTCTGAAATCACTTTTTGTGTCCGCCTCACTATGGTTGACTTTTGTAAAACACAGATTTTCGACTACCTGCTCTTTTTTTCCTAGCCCATGGTCGCTCCGGCCCCTCAGTATAAACCCCGGTGAAATGTGCCCTTTGACGTTCCCAAGCCTACCAATACATTCGACCCGAAAGCTAGCCGCATATTTGTCGATGACACACAATGTATAGGAATATGCAGCCGGGTTTATGAATAAGGTATTATTACTGTTGAGCACATAAATATTTTAAAAGAAAACGTTAAACGTTTTAAAATTCTAATCGATGATGTTTCTGTAAAACGACAGAAGATTTATGTGTAAAGGAATATGATAAGCAACAGTTTCAACAGGGTGGGTGCATTGGGAACGTATGTTGGCGGTCGCGTTAGCAATGTTAATGGTGTTCGCGTGCGGCGTCGCTCTACTTGGTGTAACGGAACGTGGCGTGGCGCGCCGCAGCCGGTTTTTTGATACCTCACATCCGTACCATTAGCGCTACTACGTGACAACTCGCACACAACCGAAGCCAGTTTCCAACGTAATCTTCTATAACAAAAAAACAATATTTCGATTCGCTCCAATAATATCCTATAGAGTACAGAATGTACAGAAGGGGAGGGGTCCAAAACTGTCAACGTTCTAAAAGACATCAAATTAGGAGTTGGAATGAGCGTCGCGACAGCCGACTACGCACTAGGAATTGTTAATTAAATTCATTAATATGATTCCAAGTCACGTAACATAGCTCTCGAAGTTCTCAGCCGCTGGGCTTGAGGACCTTCGCTTATACATCCGTATAGCACACGGCCGAATGTCCGGTTAAAGGCGATGACTCCGGTACTCTATCGGTAAGAACCTATACATGTTATGATCATGGAGGTGTAATAAGCGACTCTAACATCCAACCATGGACTATCCAACCATCTCTCGACTGGACATTAACCGGTTCGTTGAACGCGACCTTGTAGAAATGACATAAAACGCACGCGCTTTTACTTTATGTAATTGGACATCTGTTACGATTGTTGTAAACAATCTACAAATAATGGACGGTTTAATGCAAGCTGTTCCGAAAGTGAAAGTCCACCGCTATACACATTGTGAGCTATCTTAACGGTAAAAAATGGACTATTCAAAGTGATTCTTTGAAATACATGTCACTGCCTTTGTACAAATTATAACGATATTGATTTAAACGACGTAGACCAAGATCCTATACATTTAAACCGGGCTACGAACATTAGGGTTGCATAGTTTTGAAATTTAGCATTCAACGTTTCTTATACTCGAAAATCAACAAATGAAATAATTATCACAATGTTCATTGTACCATCTTACACAGTACAAGACTATGTAGAAAAGGTAAGCATATATGGAAATTATACTCGAAATCTTTTGTCAGATTTGAAAAATCGACAAAGGCTTTAATTAAGTAAAAGCGCTAATAATAACTCTGCGGACATAGCAGCCTGTAGCCGTATCGATTGGTGAGACAAAGCAGGCCGTGCACAATGACCCAAAAAGTAGCTTCAGAAAGCTTGGCGTTCGGATTTTAAAATCATACGTATCGTCTCTGTATTCGTAGCACGTGGCCATAGTCGAGTAAGCATGGTATCGTAATAACATGCCATTAGAAGTCTATTGGACACCACAAATTATACGTTGTGTGTACTTGTAGTAAAACGGTGTCAGTAATGCGTATTACCCCGATATTTTCGCTTTAAAAGAGTATCGGTCGCAATTATTTGATTCTCACAATGATTCAGTGTGTACACGTTTAGTGAAATATTTTTATGAAGATAAAGATTTCTTTTTCAAAATCGAGTTACTAAAACAGTATTACGGTCACGTTAAAATAGTTTTCTTTTGCTGTTAGCTTACGGCCGAACGCTAGAAATATGCACCGTATAAACTAAGAAAGCGCAATCAAATATACTTGTGTAATAATTAAAATTGGTAAATTCCTAGTTTGCAATTCCTCGCTAAAATGAACGTATTAATGCTTCAAACGACCGCCGATGTAGATAATAGTACTGATCCGTGTTTCCGAAGACAAATTTCAACAGTCTTAAAAAGAATCAAAAGGGTTTAATAAAATTTTTAAAGGTGTTAAGAATTGTTGAACGAACATTGAGATTTCCAATAGTAAAACGCAAGAGAGATGAGCTTTCTTCACATACCGGTGATTGCGTGCGTCGGGCAGCTCGGGCATCTGTCGTTTCGTCGCACTCCATTTCGCATCGCGTCTGCACCCGACCAAGTCCAGGCTCACATGCACCAACCAACGGCAAAAACTTGTCTAATGTCCGATCCGAGATGTGTATTATCAATACTCCGTACTACGTTTCGAACTTGATGTTGGCCAAAGGTGTTTTTTTGTTTAAAAGCAGCAGGCAGTTTCGCACGTGCGTCCCACATGAGTGTTCCCGATGCGATGGTAAGTTGGGAGCGTCGAAGAGAGTACGACTGTAGAGGCTTCGACGGCCCAGCCATTTGTCGGGTGTACGAAAGAGATGGCTTGCGCAGGGCTACGGAGGATGCGCAAACAATTTTCCCGGCCCACGCAACTTGTTGACGCGATCGCCACTGCCAATGAAATATAGAGGCGGGCTGTTGTACATTCGACCTAAATATCTAGACCAACCCCCTAAAGAATAAGCGCTGATAAGTGATAAGGTTTCCGACGTTGCTATGACTCAATATTATCACACAACTTTTACAAAAATATAAAGCGCACATATTTTACCATTTTTATTTTTCATTGACTGTCATTTTGAAGTCTTCAAAACCCTGACAAAGATTATTTGTAAAAAACCTTTCTTTTAGTAAAACAGTTTTTACTGTAACAAAGACTCTGATTTGTATGAATGGATAGGTCTTTGCTTGTAAATAACAGCTTATGCATCGTTTCGAATTAAACGCGTCCATTGAAGTTTCGACAGTTAAGTTTCTCTATTACTTATTGTTGAATTATTAAAATGATTCGAATCCACGTCTACGCCAAAAATGGCGAATATCGAATAAGAATAAAAACCACTATGCCTATTTAAAATTCGCCATTTTGGCACTAACGGTTGCGGTCGGGCGCTATAAGCGCTTTTAAGTCGGAACTTAGTAAAAGCTAATTTCCGAGGAATGACCTATCCCTTTATACAGATCAGCGATATTTATAATTGCTTAATAAATATCCTCCAATAAGAATTATGATTATACATTTAAAATTAAAAAAAAGCTATAATATTTTCATGAGAACGGCATATTAAACTACGCATATATGGTGCCCATGAAAGTACAACACCTCGTTATGTAGCGGAACACCAATAGAACTATTTTCTGTAATGGCAACATCAATTTCATTAAAAAAATAAATCTTTGCCATGGCCATGACATTGACATTTTTATTGTCAAGTTGTCGAAGTTTTCTTTTGTAATAGCAATATAATTTATAATATAGTTTCTTAAGGGTTAAATGAATCATATTTATTTAAAATGTTAGTAGAATGTCTCGTATACGTTGTAAAAGTATGCGGTGCCTCTGAGAGGCCCAAAGAGGTATACTGGTCATTGCCACGGGCATTGTAAGGTCTTCGGCCTCAATAACTGACCTAGCACTAGACGCACCTTCACCGCGCGGCCGCGCCTAAGGGTAGTAGCACCTGGCGTCTAAGCCGC